TATAATGAGAAAACAACTCTCGTTATGTCGATATAACGAGAAAATTAAGTCGTTATAACGAGAAAACAACTCTTGTTATGTCGATATAACGAGAAAATTAAGTGGTTATAACGAGAAAACAACTCTCGTTATGTCGATATAATGAGAAAATTAAGTCGTTATAACGAGAAAACAACTCTCGTTATGTCGATATAACGAGAAAATTAAGTCGTTATAACGAGAAAACAACTCTCGTTATGTCGATATAATGAGAAAATTAAGTCGTTATAACGAGAAAACAACTCTCGTTATGTCGATATAATGAGAAAATTAAGTCGTTATAACGAGAAAACAACTCTCGTTATGTCGATATAACGAGAAAATTAAGTCGTTATAACGAGAAAACAACTCTCGTTATGTCGATATAACGAGAAAATTAAGTCGTTATAACGAGAAAACAACTCTCGTTATGTCGATATAACGAGAAAATTAAGTCGTTATAACGAGAAAACAACTCTCGTTATGTCGATATAAGGAGAAAATAAGTCGTTATAACGAGAAAACAACTCTCGTTATGTCGATATAACGAGAAAATAAGTCGTTATAACGAGAAAACAAGAAGGGGAAAAAAAATAATGCATGGCCGCTTAGAACTTCCGTAGTTAATGATTAGAAATGGTATATATTTTTAATATAACAAAACATTGTAATTAAAGGGGAAAATACGGTAATTAAATATGGGAACTAACTTTCTTCTGTGAAACATGAAAGGTTGTATTTTTTAGAATGTCTCTATTTATATATTTATTTATGAATGTATGTATTTATTTATGTGTGTATGTATGTATGTATGTATATATGTATTTGGTCCATACAATGATATGTAATGGGGTCCAGTGCGGTTTTGAACCCATTGGCTTTTATTGTATATACAAAAACATTTTTCAAAATATATATATGTTTTGTCTGTGTGTGTGTGTGATTTTTACATAAGAAAGTCATTCAGGTGTGAAATGACATGAGGTTGAATAAATGTAAAAAAAATTTGGATGAACTATCCCTTTAATTAACACATTTTGAAGATTAAAAATATGTATCCATTTCTAGTCAGGTACTAAATAGCGTAACCATAGAAATCTCAGTCTTCGATATTGAGATGGTTTTGTTGAGGAAGGTGGATTGGAATCTGTGGGGTTCTTTGTACCAAAGTATTTTTGACATCCCTAGTCTTAGTTGTGCGTGATGATGCCCTGTTTGTTTTGATGTGCAAAACATTTGATTTTGTCCTCTTGTCATTGTTTCAAAGTGTTGGTCACTGTTGTAATTGTGTGAAAATGCTTGCTTATCAGTTCCATTTGTTTTTTTCCCCCCATTTCTCCTTTTTATGCATGCTGTTCCTCCTGTTTCTCTCCTCCTTCCTACACCGCACCACCCCTCCTCGTGTGCTCAGACGCTGCGCCCAGCACTGAAGCCGCAGCTCATGGTTGGTACCTCTCCCTCCTTCTTCTGCCAGCACAGCATGGCATTCTCTGCATGCCAGCTGAGTACAGTACGGCACGTAACGGCGACATGCACGGGATGCGGGAATGAAACGAATGTGGATTTGCTGTATATGTGTCTGTCTGTCTGTCCGTCCGTATGTCACATCCTTTATCCCTATTGCCATTCATCCACAAAGACCCACCTGTTTGCCATGACGCTCCTCTCAGAGCATTCGCCGTGTCATTCCAGGCCACGTCTCACATCCACCCCACCTGCATGAGCACTTCCCGAGTCCTTGTTGACATTTTTGACTTCTCACCTTTTCAAGTCCTCACACAGCTCCCAACAGACACTCGTAATCCACCCCGCAATCATTTTTCATGAATTTAAATGACGTCCAAATGACTGTTTTTGATTTCTGAGAAATGAACGGAGAGCCTTTTCTCTACATGACGCAGATGGCATTATACTCCACCTTGGTGCGCCAACTCCACACACAAATCACAGAACGGGGATAATTTGCATAGCTCATGGGCTTTATTGTGTTTTACAATATACCACGAAAGCGCTTTCTCAATTCATTAAGCCCTTTATCCTGGCTCTCAGTTTGCAGTGGCAGATGCTTGTGTGAATGTGTTAGATTTAGTATAAAGGCTTTTCGTGATACTGTGTAATTATGTCACCTGTGCCTCGTGAAACACCCTCTAATGATTTAATTAGCCATCATGTTTTGCCTGTTGACCACACCTCAAAATTGACACTTTTCTGCACCCCCGACCACCTCACGAACCGATCGAGTTGAGGCATCGTCGTTTGTTTACATATATCTGCAACTTTCCATATGGAAAAGGTTAAACCAAATACAAGTGGTGGAACATCTAAAGGTTAGGGCTATTCTTTTGCATGTACATAATTTGGACGTGCCTACAGAATGTGGTCAGGCTTGACTGTGTAGCAGAGCTATAATTGAGCTTTTGTACAGTTCACTGCATTTCTAAATACCATGTCACAAGGCCAATGTTAACCTTGTACAGTTATATCAGCCTGGCAGCAATGTTAAACTGAATCACTGTGCACTTTCCAATAATCCAAAGCAGTTTCCCCTTCAGGAACTCGAGCTGCGTCGAGTCGCTTTGGGAACGCCCTTGCGTGACCGCGTTCTGAAGCACGTGTCAAATCCGTCCAATGGAGTAGCGAGACGTCACGAGCAGGGTGACGTAAGCACCAGAAAGCATAAAGGCACATCCGGCCGGGCGCAAACCAGCTTCTGCTCTTCAGTAGCGCTCTGTGTATGTGTCTGTCTATTTACTGTTGTCTGTCCGCACAAGCACTCATATATATAAAACAATGAGAAAGTCTATGGCGAGCGAACGGCATTACAAACGCTGTGTTTCTCCCTGCCCACGATATCTGGCGGTTAAATACCATGTCACAAGGCCAATGTTAACCTTGTACAGTTATATCAGCCTGGCAGCAATGTTAAACTGAATCACTGTGCACTTTCCAATAATCCAAAGCAGTTTTTCATCCTACAAAATGTTTTCGGTCATGCTAAGAGAACACAAGGTGAACCCAGGGGACTTTGTCTCATGCAACAAATTGGTTTTAAATGTAGGGCTTCTTATCTTTGTGTTCTGTAGTTGTGGCATGGAGCTTTTTTGGTCTGGCTTTTATGTTGTTGCTGTACGGTGAAAAGGGTTAGTCATCTCAGTGCTTCCTGTCCTCTCTCTCATTATCGAAATCGTCAGGAAATGTCTTGTTTGTAAAATGTCAAGCATGCTTCTCCATTCTTTAATCCGACTATGGAATTGGTGTCCCGACCTGTTGCAAATATGTGTTTCTGCTCATGTTAAGATGCTTGTTTGTGTTGGAAACGCACCCCGTGGTACAAAACGAGCACAATGCACGAGAATTAAGTCACATTGTTTCCAGAATAAAGACATCTAATCTAGTCTAGCGCAGAGAGCAGCTCATGATGGCAGAGCAAAGTGTCTATGTTCCTCCTCAGAAGATCCTGTCATTTGCATCTTGTCATACCTTGTGTGTTTTATGTGGTTCACTTTTGTAGCTGATGCACATACTCTGTTTACCATCTTATTTTCCTGGGTGTGCTACTCTCACTGTTCAGGAGATTTCTCTTCTCTCTGATAACAGTCTTTTTTTTACCCTCTCTGGTGTAGCCTAGCAACAAGCTGATCAAGCAATAAGTGGGGTTTTCAGCAGAGGTTGAGGTGGGAGGCTGACATAGTGGGCAAGATTCCTTGCTAGAAAAGAAAGCTACAGCAGTGCCACAGAAAACAGTCTTATTTATGTATTTTTATTGCATTTATTCCCCTTTTTATTTACTCTTACTCTTTTTGTCTGCACACTATTTTGCAAAATAATTTACCTTGTCGGCTTTGCAAAATATGCACATTTTATAATGGCTTGTGAAGTTAAAGACAACATGAATCCAATATTTATTTATTTTAATTGATATAGTAGTTATTTACTCTCAGATTAACTTTTGATAGTCTTATTGTGGACAAATTAACAATATTACCTAGGTTTAGGTAACACTGTTAATGTTATAAACTAAAGATCCAGCTATGACATTATTGGTGAATATTATTATATCACTATACACATGTGTTTATTGATGTAACTGACCTTATGTATTTTAAATATAATGTTATTAACTATTGTTTGCTGATGTTTTTGTTTTTACTATAATCAATTAATTTAATAATGTAATAATTTATTAACATTAAATATATTCAATATTTACTATAAACTATTATTTTTTTGTTTGTTTGTGCATGCTAACCAGCCAAACCATGACCCCTCAATAATATTAACCAATAATATCACAGCTGAATTTTTGCAATACAATCAAATACGATTGATAACATCAACATTATTTCCCACTGAAATAAGTTCTTGGAAAATGTCATGATATGGAAATGAAATGTGTTCTGACAGCCCTTTCGTGTTGTCTTTAACGGGACGTGTTGTGTGGCTGAATATGAATTAAACTGCAGACTAGAAGAAACATGGTTGGTGGGGTCAGATAGATCAAATTCTTATCAGCATGTCAGAAACCCTGTCCAACTCTTACTGTATCATCACACACTGGTATCCTCGATATTAATCACACCTCACTTCACCTGACCCATTGCGTGTACGGTCACGCTCTTCTCTGCCTGCCTCTCCTCGAGCTGATTTATTGCCATCATGTGACTGTTTTCAAAGCAATATATGTAGATCTCATTTATTTATTATTTTTTTCTCTGGATCTGCAGTGAATTCAGATGAGAAGTGAGAAGCCCATTCAGTAGGTCCTCCATTTGGCTCTCTCTTTCTCTTCTCTCTATATATCACTCCATCCAGGCGTACTCCTCATTCCTGTTCATTTCCAAAGAGGATGATTAAACACACTTCACTTATTCTTGTCATTTCAACATCTTTTTTCGGTGTCGCACCACACAACATGTTTGAGGCTGGGTTTGGTAAACATGACAGTGGCGTCTTTTGATGATGTGCTTTAAGTAACAATGCGGCCAAGAGCCTGTAAGAAACCAGGTGTAAAATAACTGCTTTGTTTGCCCATGATTGTGACAAATGGAAAATCACTCCACTCTGGCCGACCAGTTTGGAGGACTATTTTCTCGCAACTATAAAAGTAAAACTTTTCAAGCCTCGTTCTCAATATGACTGAGTCTGCCTTTTCATAAAGGAGCGGGTCTTTTCAGTAGGGATGTAATAATGGCTTTAATTTTTCTCGTTGCTTTGGCCACACCTCTGTCACACTTTTCATAATGGCAGAAATGAATTAAATCTACATTTTTGTCCTATGAATGCTAAAGAGAATGTCTTTTGTGAAACAAAGCCTCTAAAATAAATAGCATGGCTTTAGAAAAGGATGAATGAAAATCTGTGAGTGTCACACATGGTGCTAAAATTAAGCAAGGGCTTATTTAAGCCTATCTCTCCCTCGCTCTTTCACATCCCAACTTTTTTGGAATTGGGTTTGTACAATAATAATAATAATAATAATTGTTTTATTAAAAATAACTAAGTTATGTGAAAATATACAATTAAAATAATTATAAATATCAAATTATACATTTGACATTTTTTACTTAATCTCAATTTTTTGCACTTTATTATTATATTATATTATATTATAATATATTGTTTTAGATTAGACTAGACTAGACTAGATGGAGGCAGTGATACGGACAAAGTACTCAACACCATTACTTGAGTGAAAGTACAGATACTGCTGGTCAAATATTACTCCATTACAAGTAAAAGTTGTAAAGACAGATTTTTACATAAGTAAAAGTACAGAAGTACTTGCTTTTAAAAGTACTTTAGTAGCAAAAGTAAATTTCCTTTTTTATGTCAATGCACTGTTTTATTGTTGTACGTAATACTTGCAATACTTCTGAAGCAACTTAGAATACATTACACCTACTGAATACACTGACTAGCTTGTAGTATCTTTGGAATAAAGAGCTTTTAGAATGTTAAAAAGCTATGGGGAAAAAAACTAAATAAAAATAAATAAATATTTAACACCCCCACAAAAGCAGGAAGGTAGTGATCACACACAGCTCTGACAGTGCGTGCACAGATCTATGTGTAGCCATTCAACCACATTTGAACAGAGTGGACAGTGTTGTGGTACTTTTATGTCACACACAGAATGGTCTTTGCAGTGCTGCTTCAAGTCCAACACCTATTGTGTTTTATTAGGAGATGCACAACAGTTCTTCTGTGGCTTTATAGGTAATATTTTCACGTACACAATTTAGGCAAGGCAAGTTTATTTGTGTCTCACATTTCGTAACAAAGGTAATTCAAAGTGCTTTACATAAAAGAAAGTAAAATAATCATAAAAAAATAATCACAAAAATAAAACAAGGAATTTAAAAACTTTGAAGATGATTTAAAAATTTATTTTAAATGAATTTAAGACCGTTAAAAATAGAAAATGATAATACATACATAAAATAC